AAAACGATCTGAATATTATTGGCGCGTCTACACTGTGACTCCCGCCAGGAATATACGGACCGATACCGATCCGAATATGTTCATCAGTATATTTTCCCCCACCGGAATATATTCAGACCGATATTGGTTCGAATATTTATTTTTTCGGATCGACACGTGTCGGTCCGTATATGATCGGTCCGCATACGTCATTTTTCTAGTAGTGTTTAAGTGGGACTAAATACAGATACTTGTATGATCTATTTTTCCTTACTAAAATCTATGTTAGTTATTCAAAAAATTATATTATGAATGCAATTCTCATTAAATTGTTAAAAAATAAAAAATAAAAAAAAAAAACACCATACTGGCGGCTTCCTTATTTTCCAACGCCACTGAGATGCCATCATGATGCGTAATCAAAGCCTTCACTTCTGGATGGAAAGAAAATTATCACTTGAGAAAAGTCATTGAGCATAACATTAATTTCGAAAGTTTGGTTTTAAGAGTAAAAATTTTGATCAATAATCGAATATTGGGAATAATGTATTTCCTCTTGTTTTTTTTTTTTTTTTTGAACAGCAAATGAATAATTCATTGATGAAAAAATTGAGTACAAGGGGTACTCAAACCCTTACAACAAATACAAAAAGCCAGCCCTTCAATGTTACTACTATCTTTCGAATCATTACTACTTTCGTCTACAATTTACTAACAGACAAGAAGTAGGATCAATCATCGAATCCGAAAGACTGAAATAACACCTAGCTTTCCTTGCTTTAACCCAAGCAAAAGATCTCAATTGAATAAGTTCAAAAAGATTGCTTTTGTTTACCTTTGAATCATGAAAAACCTTCCCGTTTCGTGCCACCCATATAGTCCACAAAACTGTGTTCCAGATGCAGTCCCACCCTTCTGAAATGTGTGGTTTTGTAGTCCATGTCCCAAAATGTTGAAATGTTGTCCAGCAATCTCTGTAAAGTGTAAAGTTTGTTCCCCACCAGTTTGCGCATGCTTGCCACAATCTTCTAGCTACTCTGCATTTTAAGAACAGGTGGTCAGCATCTTCGGTCTCTTCCTCGCATAAGACACAATTCCCTTCAGCCATATCTTTGATAACTCCCCTTTTGATCAGATTTAACTTGGTTGGGATTCTGTCCAGCAATGTTTTCCAATTAAACGCGGCCACTTTACTAGGGACGATGGGATTCCACACCCTTTTGAAGGTTTTTTCATCCTCTGGGTTCTTCCTTAGCATTGAAAGCCTTTGATAAGCTATTTTTGTTGAATATTGGCCTTCCTTGCTATGACTCCATTCCCATCTATTTGGGCAGCCTGGTGTGAGCTTCACTTCTTCAATCATCCATTTTAGTTCTCGAGCTGCTTCTTTTTCCCATTCAAACAATTTCCGTCTCCATGTTAAATTCCATTTCCATGTGGCCCTCTCCGCATTACCCATTTCATGACATTCTTTTCCTTTCCCTGTTGACAGTAAATACAATCTAGGAAATTTGTTAGCTAGACACTCTTCCCCGCACCATGAATCCCACCAGAATTTAACACATCTCCCTTCCCCTATCTTCAGCCTAAAATCCTCCCTCAACCATCTCGCGTTCACTCCCTCCCCGGCCTTGAGTCTTCGGACATCTCTCCACCATAGCGATCCTGTGTTCCTGCCATCACGCACCCAATCCAGCCAGTGTCCCCCTTCTACTCCATATTTTCCTATAATGACACTCTTCCACAAGCCCTCTTCCATATTTGCCAACCTACTCAACCATTTTCCCATCAATGCCACATTAAATTTCTTCAAGTCTTTTACTCCTAAACCTCCCTCCTCCTTTGATCTACATACCCTCTCCCAACTAACCCAATTAATTTTCTTCCCCTCTCCCTCCCCTCCCCATAAAAAGTTTCTCCGAATTTTATCTAGGGAGTAGAGAATACCTTTGGGCAATAGGTAGGCTGACATTTGGAACACCGGTAAGCTAGACAACACAGAGTTTATCAGCGCGATTCGACCCCCCATTGATAAGTCTCGGCCCTTCCAACTTGCTAGCTTCTTTTTGAATGAGTTCACCAGTGGCTGCCACATTGTTAGCTTTCTATGATTCCCTCCAATTTGAATTCCCAGATACTTGACAGGGAGCTCGCCTTCTTTGCAGTGAAGAGTGTAAGCCATTCTCTTTTTCCAATCTTCCTCAACCCCGATACCCATTAGCTGACTTTTACAATAGTTAATCTTAAGCCCCAAAGCTAACTCAAAGGTCCTCAAAATGCATTTGATAACTTGAATGTTTTCCTTTGATGCTTCGCCAAAGAATATCGTGTCGTCTGCAAACTGGAGGTGTGATACCGTCACTTCTTTGTTTCCAATCCTCACCCCCTTGTAGAGATTTTTACCCACCGCAGATAACATTAAGCCATTCAATCCCTCCGCTACTATTAGAAACAAGAAGGGCGAAAGTGGGTCACCTTGCCTTATCCCTTTACTAACCGGGAACTACCTTGTAGGGCTTCCATTAATGAGGATTGAAACCGTGCTCGACTGTAGACATTCCTTCATCCATTTTCTCCATGTGGCAGTAAATCCCATTCTCAACAGCATGTAGTCAATAAAATCCCAGCATACATTGTCATATGCTTTTTCGAAGTCAACCTTGAGTAGAAAGCTGTTTTTCTTCTTTCTCTTTGCTTCCTCAATCACCTCATTAGCAATGATCACCCCATCCAGCAGCTGTCTACCTTTAATGAATGCCATTTGTTGCTCCCCGATGATCTTATCTAGAAATTTCCTCAGTCGGTTAGCTAACAGCTTTGCCAAGATCTTATACATGACTCCAATGAGCGAGATTGGCCTAAAATCTTCAATTCTTTGGGGATTCTCAATCTTCGGGATTAAGACTATGAAAGATGCATTTGCTCCTTTTTCTATCTTGCCTCGAGCATGGAATTCCTGGATATAGCCAATAATATCTTGTTTGATGTCCTCCCACATAGCCTTCATAAACTTGAAATTAAACCCGTCAGGCCCTGGGGATTTTGTTGGCTCACAATCCCACACTGCATTCTTGATTTCTTCCTCAGAAAACTCAGCCATAAGGGATTCATTGTTTGCATGGGATAGTTGTTTGAAATTGATGCCATCCAGCTTTGGTCTCAGCCAGTTACTTTCTGTGAACAAATCTTGAAAATACTTTGCCACTCCTTCTTTTAACTCCCCCACCTCCCGAATCTGTTTCCCATTAACCTGAATGCTATTAATCTCATTTCTTCTCCATCTTCCCTTCACACAATTGTGAAAAAATTTTGTGTTAGTGTCCCCATCTCTTAGCGACATCTTCCTTGATTTCTGCTGCCACATACTCTCCTTGATTTTCAAGTTCTCCCACAGATCTAAGAAGCAGCCTTTCCTCTTGTTTGCATCTTCTTCCGATAGCTGGACGGTTTCTCCTTTCTCATCCAGAGTAGCTATCATCTTTTCAGCATCTTTTATCTTGTGATCTACTTCCGACATGTGGTTGCCACTCCACTCCTTCAAGGCTTTTTTAGTTCCTTTCAATTTCTCCTTCAGTCTGAAACCCTTTCTCCCATCTTCCCCTGTAGTATTCCATGCCTTTCTTATCAGCTCCTTACTTTCATGTTGCTCCAGCCACACATCGAAGAATTTAAACGGCTTTGGTCCCCAGTCTATTTTTTCGTTCTTCAGTACCAACGGACAATGATCTGACACTATTCTGCCCAAACCCCACTATTTCATATCACTCCACTTCTCAAACCAATCAGCAGTTATCAAAAATCTATCAATTCTACTCATCTGTCGACCATTTGAGCTATACCAAGTATACTTTCTACCTATCAATGGTAAATCTATCAATCCTGCATCCTGGATAAAGCTATTAAACTCATTCATCTCTGTAGTTGGATCTTTACACCCCGCGCTCTCCTCAACCTTTGTGACAGCATTAAAATCACCCCCTAAGCACCATCTTCCCTTCCTTCTGTTGATCAAATTACCCAACTCCTCCCACAACTCTCTTTTGCCCGCCAGAGTACATGGAGAGTATATGTTAATCAGATGCACTAGTATCTGCTCTTCTCCCCATACCCCAAACACCCCCATAAAAGAACGGCCCTCAATCACCTCTATCATTTTGAACACAGATGATTCCCAAATGCATAGAAGTCCTCCAAATAAGCCCTCTGAAGGTTTAAAAATCCAACCAAAGTTATCACTGCCCCACACACTCCTGCATAATTTCCTATCTACAACTTCCAGTTTAGTCTCCTGCACTGCTAAAAACTTTATCCTTTCTTTAATAACCAACTCCTTAATAATTCTTTTCTTCCCCGCCCCTCCTATTCCCCTTATATTAAAGGACATCAGTATCATTAATCTCAATGCTTACCTTCTTTGCTTCCTCGGCTACCCGATTTGCCATTTCTTCCTTTTTTTTTCTGTCTCTCCTCTCCATCTCTTCAATTCTTTGCACCATCACCTCGTCCTTCTCTGTTGTAGCACCCAACTGTTTGGCTAAATCCCAAATTTCCTTAGCTAGGTGGCTGTGCATTTGTTCCTTCCAAGCCCTGTTACAATTTTCTATTCCACTATCTCCAATGGATTCCTTTGCTATCTCACCATTTGGGCTAGCCAAGAATTTCGGCATTAAACTACCTTTCTTTGATTTCCGGATCTGTTTAGCACTTCCATCTTTTTTCTTTTTCCTTCGTTCAACACCCGCAACCCCCTCTCTTCGGTAGACAGCACTACAAAGCCTGATTTTCTTCTTCCTCTTTTGCTGAAGTGCTAACGCCCCCTTCTGCTTCAGGATCTGCCTCTGCTCCACATCACTGTCCAGATCCCACTGCGTAGGATCTCTTCCTTCCTCTTCGGACAGAGACGTCTTGGCCCCCCTCGATCCCTCCTGATTCGAGAGCTGCTTCTGATCTTCTTCACCCTCAAGATCCCACATGACCGTCTCCCTCACTTCCTCCACGGTAGATGCCGCCTTGTCCCCCCTTGACCCCATCTGCTTTGAAGATTGCATCTGCTCCTCTGCAACACCGAGTCTCTGCTGGACCGAATCCCCTTCCCCATCTTCGAAAATTACAGCCTTAGCTCTTTTGTCTTTATTCATCTCCATAGTTTGACCCACCGATGGGCCTACTCCCTTTGGCCCATACCTTCATTAGTTGACTCCTCAAAGCTTGGGCTGCTTTCATGAGATTTGGGCTTACTCTTCAGCCTCCTCTTATGATTCTCATTGAAGCCCAATTTTTCTACAACCACTTCCAACTTCCCCTGTTGTTGCAACGTTCCTTTTTCCGCTGCACTGTGATAATCTTCATTTAAATTTTGAATTCGGACCGAGCTCCCCGCCCCTACTTCAATTCTCCCCTTTTTGACCTGCAAATCTTGTGACAGAAACTTCCCATCATTGTGACCGTTACTGTATGCCACCTCATCATCTTCCTCCTCCAGCTTATCGTCTCTCTTAAACTCTTGCTCCATCTCTGCAATTTTTTCCAGAACAGTGTCTTCCTTATCACTATCTAGTGACCATGACTCCTCATTTTCAGACTCGCTTTGAAAAGTTGGCATGAAGTCCTACTTCAAGGAGAAGAAGCTGTTGGTGAATTCCTCCTCCGTAAATTTAACGTTGTACATGACCCCATTAATTTTAATCTGTCTCAAGACTGATATTGTATTCATGATCGGTGTTGAGAGCAGAAATCTAGCTACATCAAATCTTCTTTTTTGGCTTGTGTTGTCGTCCAAACAGATGAATTTACCCCATGAGCTACCCATTTTTGCAAAAAAATCTGTTCCCCACACATTTAGGGGTGCTCCTTGACACCTAACCCACACAAACCTTTCATCCGCCACCTTTTCCGGTGACCATGGTTTTACTTCTGCAAACCATTGTCCTAACCACTCGGATGCTGACTCCACCAAGTCTTTTAGCTCATTTTTGTCATCACAATCTAGAAGCACCAATTTTCCCCCCATCGCACGGATTCGGCATGCAAAGTACCCTTCCATGTAAAATTTTTCCTGCAAATTTCTAACCATTTCCACCTAATAAACTGTTCCTACATAACATCCTTCAAGCCACGCATACTCTCCTGGATCAACATTGTATTCAAATCCAGCCCAATTAGCACTCTTACCCTTTTCTTGCCACACTTTTCTGTTATCAATGACTCCCATTTCACCCCTGGTTTGGCTTCTAATAATCCTATGTCCTTCCATATGATTCCCTGTAAATTGCTTACTCCCCTTCTCCTCTTGATCTTTCTCCTATTGGCTCTTCACCACTTCGGCGTAGCTCCTGGATTGAGGTTTCCTTTCACCTCCTTAAGATGGTTCTTGATCTCGCACCTCCCTTCTTGCCTCTACATATCTCGGGGTATTAACCCACAGCTTGCTTCCTTCAACCCAGATCTGATCCAGCCTCCTTTCCAGCTCCCTTCTGTCTTTCACCTCTAAATACCTCACAAATCCAAACCTGCT